TTGCTTATGATGGTGGTTAATTAAGGAATGAAGAATAAAAATGTATTAAAATTCATCATTATCATCAAGTGGATGATACTGTATTAAAATTATTATTTTTTGTACTCCATTACTATTTACATAAACTAATCAGATATTTCGTGAAAATAAAAGAAGACAGCAAACAGAAGCACCAATGATTTCATTGTACAACATTTTTATTTTATCGAGAAAACAATTTGTTTCATAGGCATAAGTACGTCTGATCCCAGTAGTTCCATTCTCTAATTCCATTAAGGTACTACTGGTATTTTTTCTCTCAGTAGTTCCATGGAACTAGAGTGCTGTTTATACAAGACACAATTGGTCCCATTAGTTGTAGTACAATCACAATAAAATGGACATGTGTAACTATTATTTGCCCGATTATTAGGAGGTATTAGTTAGGTCAATTATAAACAAAAAAAAAACTTCCTATATCTATGAGAAACGTGGACGATTCTTCTCTCAAAAATATAGCACTGTAACTTTTCCAGTGACTAGTTTCATTTGCGAATTGCGTACAAGGATGTCCTTCACAATAAAACAAGTCTATTTTCATGTCGGGATTTACTTTTTCTTATATTTCCTTTGAATGTACTGTATAATACTCTATACGAGAGATTATAACGTGGTTTGATAAAATTTGCAATACTTTTTATAAAGTTATTACTTACAGTCATTTTAAACGATTTATTTAGTCTGCCATGCCATGCCTCTTACAAAATTCGTTGTTTGATGTCTTTCGCCGAAAGCACACCAGAGTTTAATAAATTCAGAGTCATGCAACCAAAACCGCTCCATGTATAGTTTGAACCTATTGAATTTTAGTTTCTCGGATTCAGCTATGAACTGTAATTTTTTTTGTAAATATAATGGAACTATTGAGCTTAAGTAAAAAAGTATTCGAGTTCCATGAAACTACAGGGACAAAAAAATCCCAGTAGTACCATATTGGATCTAGAGAATCGAACTACTGGGATCAGACGCATAAGTACAGTATTTGTTTTCTCCATAGAATATCTTTCCCATTTATAGGTTTCCGAAACGTTTAAGAAAGTTGTGTACACCATATGACTCCAGACGTGGATATAACGAAATCGTTAATAGTTTCATGGAATGCTTAAAATAGATTACAGCAATTGAATTCGACCAAGATTACCAAATGTAATCTGTTTTATATTATTGCGCGTAGGTGAACTGACGAATGTCGATATAATACTGCGAATTTGTTATTCAGTTTAATGAGTCTATTACAAATATGAATTATTACGATAAATTCAACAAAACAGCAAAATCATCTATTTCCGGACCGATACGATTTACAAACCTTCAAGAAAAGAGCGTACTCCTTCCTGCAGACGTTCATGGGCGGCGATGGTCAGTTTGATAACATAACAAAAAACCTTCATAAAAAAAAATCTTGATAAGTTTCCTTTCTAACCTTGCATTGCATGCCAAAAAAAAACTCCTTGTACTTGAAATATATAGTAGCGAACATATTCGTGCCTAGTATTGCCAATATGGATGGATGCGTATTGTCCAAGAGCGGGATAGTTGGCGCTCCTTGCTAGCTGATGATGAATTGTCAAAAGCAAGACATCCTTTATATCAATCTTTCTACCATTTTCTGTTTTAATTTTCCCTCTCCCACTATAATTTAACAATAGCAGGGGTCCAATGGCGTCAATGGTTACTTAAATGCTGAACACCGGTTTTCTGCGAAGCCGTGGTAAGTCCGAAGCATAGCTCTCCCACAATAAAACTTAACTTGTTCAAGACTTCTTCTCAATAATATGATAAATTATCCATGTTGTTAAGTAGATAATAGTTACATTTTTTATGCGCATAATAAAATGGCGGATGGCGTGGTGGTTTAAGCGGTCGCCACGCCGCTTATCCAATCTTATTTTTTTTCTAAGTCTGGGTGTTCTTTGTGTTTGTTTCCTGTTTGTTTATAAAGTTCCCCGCGACACAGGACATATTCCTAATGCGGGAGTTGTCTTTTTGTAGTAAGTAAGTATTACTTACTTACTTCAAAATACACCGGAGTGGCTCCCTTCTTTATCACAACTTTACTTGCATAATACTGGATTGCAGTATATTATTTTAGTAAGGTGGAAACTACCATTAAAAAAGTAAGGATTTTCTCCTGATCCCATACTATTATTTAAATTTCTTTTGTCTTTTCTTTAAACTTGTTTTTTTTTTTTATTAGAAACAAAGCAGTTTCTGTGAGCTGCCGTGACTCGTTTCTTTAAAATATACGACTGAAGTACGTTATGGGGTGCCCAAAATCCCCCCGTATTCTGGGGAGGACTCAAGAGCTGCAACGCACTTGTAACCCTTGAGTTGCGGGTGTCCATGGTAGGCAGTAGTCACTTACCTATAAAATAAAAAAAATACTTACTTGAAATCTATCGCTTAATCAAATTGACGGAAAACATCGTAAACTATATCTTATCAATGGAGGGCATATAAACGGTATGAATCATACGAAACGCGACGAAATCGTGTAAACGAAGTTATTGACCTATTTATTTTCGAAACAATATTTTTTTTTATGATAAGATTAATACTTAGGTAAAAAGAGTACATCATGATATAAGTACCACCAATTGAAAGTAAAAAGAAAGGAACTCTTGAAATTTTTCAAGGACGGACGGAATTGTCATTAATATTTTAATAACCAGACGTGTCATGTAGCATAGTAGTAAAACAATACCCTTATAATTTCGACATGGAAAATGTCCACCAGTTTAGACCAGTGCGGATAATTCTGTAAAGTTTGTTAGCGATAAGTTTAACTGTTTTTTTTTTTAGATTTTTGTTACTCGTAAGCGTGAGAAACGGCTAAATTTAACAGTTTTGAAAGTATAAAAATTATGATATACCTACAATTATTCTTGTAGGAAGTGATGATAAAGAATTTGATTAAAGCCAGGCACCATCAGAGGACAAACTAAAATACTTAAAAATCTTTAACATCAGATTCAGTGTCCTTTCTTAATCATCATTAGTAGTCGGCTCTTCAAATAGTACATCAAAATATTGGTTTTTAAGTGTCGTTTTTTCTTAATAAACCCGACTTAATTGTTTCAGTTTACGATTGATTTAGGTGTCGCCAAACTTACACATTTGCGGACGTAATAATCTATGTATATATTAATACGTGAAGCGAAAGCTTTGTACCCCTTTTGCCCTATTTGATGGAAGTGTTATTTGACACAGTTAAAGTTTATATGGAAAGGAAGTGCATAAAACTATTTTTAATAAAAAATGCGTTAGAAATACTTAAAATTGATTAAAATAAACATTGCACACACTACTGCTTGAATGACACATAACATAAACACAAACATACCATACTAACTGTTTTGTTCATGGTTAAAATCGATGGTCAAACTGTAGCTTAATTTTATAATAAATACTCTTACTCGTGTAATATATGACCCACCGATATGATATATGAACGACCACTGGGCGACCACTATATATGTATATCTATAACAATAGATAAAGTAAATTAAGGCACCCCCTTTTAAATATATTTTTTAAAGACTACTCCCGCATTAGTACTCATAATATATGATGTCAAATTCGTGCGACTGCACGGATGGCGTAGTGGTTTAAGCGGTCGCCACGTCGCTTCCTACCACGCCGAGTGTTGTGGGTTCAAACCCCACATGGGACGACACTTTGTGTGATCCACAAATTGTTGTTCTGAGTCTGGGTGTTCTTTGTGTCCGTTTCATGTATGTTTGTAAAGTCCCCCGCGACACAGGATTTATTCCTAATGCGGGAGTTGTCTTTTTAAAAGAAAAAATTGAGGATACTTAATAAATTATCATACAAAAAAATGCAAAAAGCCAAATGTTTAATAAATATGTGTTACTTATAAATTTAATGATTACGCGATAACGGCCACCTGAAGCTAAGAGGGTGCAGTATACAAATATGTTGACTTATTACGATAATAACACTCATATCTTTGTACTTCCTAAAGATTCCTTCGATTCAAAAGAGTCGCCTTTGCTAAACTTATTTAATCGTAAATAAGTGTAAAAAGTGTGTTAATAACCGATTAGATAACGAAATAAGCGATATCCCTAAATAGATAAATTATCTTTAATATTTTTAACAATAAAATCTACGAGGACGCATAATGTGGCATATCTTTTCAATTTGTTTTCCTAATGAAAAAAAAATATATTTATCATACCTACGTAGTACACAAATTTGCATAACCGACAATTCGCCAGGATAAACAAGCTGTTTAAATATAATAGCTATGACCCACGGCTTCGCACGCATGATTATTTGTTTCTTCAACCGTTCATCCTTTATTTTACCCCTTAGGGGAGAATTTTTCAAAATTCTTATCTTAATGGATGCTTACAACATAAAAAGCATCAGCTGCCAAAACTTCAAGCTTGGCGGTTTAGACTCTGCGTTGATGAATCAGTCAATTCCCAATCATTTCCATAATGTACATAAATGGTCTTAAAAATATAAAAGTACTGAACCATTATGGACCCCGTCCGGCACAGCAAAATGTTAGGCGAGACGAACAAGACTAAGCAGAAATAATTTAATATCTACATACTAATAATGATATATAATATAATATATCTCACACACTTACACACGGCCGTCTGATCCCAAACTAGGCAGAGCCTGTGCTATGGTAACCAGACTGCTGATAAACATACTTTTTTTTTAAAGAAACATATTATAGATAAACGTGACACGTGACACACCGTGACACGAGAATTTTATATATTAGATTATACCCAGACACAGAACAAATGACCGTGCTCAGCACACAATATTTGTCCTGAGTGGAAATCGAACCCACGACCTCCGGTTTAGCAGTCAGGGTAACTAACCACTAGACCAACAGGCCCGTCTAATAGATATAAGATATAATAATATATTCGCGTTTACCTAATCCATGACATGACATGAAATGATTGTTTCAGACAAGACCTGCTAAAATGGTACGGCTGGGGCTACAAAGACTCCATGTTCCATCTTGATGGGATCAACGCATGCTTTACCGGCAACAGGTGAGTTAGTCAGTGTGATAGTGTTATGTTAGAGTAATTTGAATGTGCGTGATATCAACGATTCTTATCCAAGAATTTAATTTTGAAAGAAGAAAATAAATATCCCTAAAATTCAACCCACTTTCAAATCCAGCCCATTTTGGCTAAATCTTCTAGTGATATGTTTTTTTCATAGTATGTTATACATATACCGTGAACATAATATGACTAAATAGACGATATTTCAAAGAAGGTTTGCATGCAGTTGAGTTGTTAGGTTATTCAGCTGTGAAGTTAAGGAAAGAAGCAGGAAGCTTAGGTATTTTGTTAAAACTGTGAAATATATTACTTTAGGCGAGGTAATGATACTCCATAATAATGGGCTAACAATGGAGAAATAGTTTGTACTAATTAACACACTTGTTGGATTATAGAACTACAAATATCTTAGAACAAAGCATTTTGAAGGTAAAGAACAATGGCAAAAACATATTTACCTAAAACTTAAGCGTTTAAAAAATCGAATCACAGTAAACTTAATCAATATTTTTTCTATGATTTATCATTACACCACCATGTGTTGTATAAGTCTCATAAGAGATAGGATATTTTGAAGATTTTATTTGACCTAAGTACGTAATGTCAGATTCGCCATCACGTATAACTGACTAGGGATGCGTGGTGGCAATATTATATTATGAAATGTTTTACCAATATCGATTGTTAGTTTTGGCTGAAATATCTACCGAAGGGTCACCTATTATGATCATGAATTTGCTTCTGCCTACGGCTTCTCTCGTACGGTAGATTGACTGAATCAACATAATTAGAAACAATTTAGAATATTTTTGACTCTCTTTAAACAATTTTAAAAACACTTAAGAAATATAATTTAGTTACGTTATTTTCCGACGTAGGCCAAAACCTCCTTTCTAAGGAGACCCAAACCTCCTTTCTTTTTAAAAAATATACACTACACAGTGTGATGAGAAAAATACATTGTCATTGATAACGGCACGTAAATAGACATTCATCGATATTTTCAAAATGTCGATACGTCGTCGTTTAGATCCTGTCAAGTTCCGGACTCACCCCATTTGTTATTTATTGGAACGAAGTTCCTTATCGCGCGTTGTGAAAGGGGGCTAGACGAAAAAAATTCGTACGAAAATTTGTCACGACACTTTTTAATATAAATTGACGTCTACATTAAATTTGCTTTAACGTTCGCCAACGTCCATACCATGTTGAATACACCGGTTCTCGTCCGATCACCGAAGTTAAGCAACATCGGGCGTGGTTAGTACTTGGATGGGTGACCGCCTGGGAATACCACGTGATGTTGGCTTTTTGCTCTTTATTTTCGTGTCATCTTGTCAGACATTCAGCGCCATCTGTCGAATAGATAGGAAATCATTTCGCAAGGAGATTTTACCAATGTATAAATTGTTTTAATTGTTTTTAATATGTAGGTAATAGCCGCTTTCATAGATGGCGTTGTAATTAAAATCGTGTCAAATCAGTTTTACTCCATCGTCACAACTTCGTTCCTATCGGGTGTCCCACGACACCACACGGCTTTTTTTGTTTAATTTATTGTTAAACTCGCATAGATATTATGCTTTTCTATTTTTTATTTCAAATACTGTAATAATAATGAAAATAGACTTCACATGTGTCTCAGCTAATGAAACTTACAAATATCTGGGTATGTTACAGGCGTTAGGTGTATATGAATTGACTATGAAACAATCGTTACAGGAACGCTTCTTTAGCCGCCTGAAAAAAGTCAATAATAAGTAAGCAGTCTTCTGTCAGGTGGTAATAAGGTGAGAGCCTATAATGATTGGGTCATACCAGTTCTAACTTACTCTTTTGGCATACTTAGATGGACTCAGACTGGACTAGATACCCTGGATAGAAGAGTTCGTACATTGCTTACTGCATACCGAATGCATCATCTACGTTCATCGGTGATTGAGGTTAGGTAGAATACATTTCTACGAAAATGTGGTGGTCGTGGTTTTCTAAATGCCAAGACCCTCCACAATTGTGAGATATGTAACCTTAGGAATTACTTCCTTTCTGTTAATGTGGATATCCATAGGGATGTAGTAGCAGTTGATAACGGACTCACTCCGCTTGGTCTAGGTAAAGAGAACTGGCGCAAATTTGCAGTACTCAACATTATTGATCGTAAGGAGATATGGAAGGGCAAAGAGCTGCATGGACGTTTTTATCGGGCCTTGAACAGGCCTGAGGTAGATCAACTAGCGTCTGTATTCTGGCTTCGATTCGGTGACCTCTTCGGGGGAAACTGAAGGTTTTGTCTTTGCAATTACTGATGAAGTTGTTATGACGAATAATTATCGGAAGTATATTCTGAAGGACGGCACAATAGACATTTGTCGGGCAAGTCATTGTCCTGGTGAAAGCCTCAGACATATAATTTCCGGTTGTTCTCGTCTTGCCAACGGCGAGTATTTGCATAGACATAACCAAGTGGCCAGGATTGTCCATCAGCAACTTGCTCTTGAGTATAACCTTGTGACTGTAGAGTTACCGTACTACAAATATGTGCCCGACCCAGTTCTTGAAAATGGTCGTGCAACGTTGTACTGGGATCGCCCTATTATCACTGACAGGACTATTGTGGCCAATAAACCTGATATAGTGGTAATAGACCGATTGGAGCGCCGAGCAATGATTGTTGACATTACCATTCCACATGACGACAATCTCTTGAAAGCTGAAAAAGATAAACAAGTGAAGTATTTTGATTTAGCCCACGAGATTGTCGACATGTGGGATGTTGATTCGGTAATCATTGTACCGATAGTCATATCGGCCCATGGATTGCTTGCTAAGAGCCTCGACCAACATCTTCAGAGGCTCGCGTTAGGCAGTTGGATTAAGGGTCTGATACAGAAAGCAGTTCTCCTCGATACGGCACGTATTGTGAGGAAGTTTCTGTCTCTGGAGACCTAACCACCGATATCTTGGTCCCTGTACCCGATACCGATGGGATACTATTTTTTATATTTTTAAATATATATTTTTTTGTGTTTTTGTATATAAATAAATTTAAAAATGTAATTTATATGTATAAAGAATGAAAATAATATTTTCGGCTATCTGACACACAACGTCATCTAGTTTTAAACAAAACATTAACAATATGTTAGTACTAACATTTCAGTACAAATAAAATTATGTATGGGGACTTGCCATTGTCCTTTTAGAACTAAACAATTAGAAATTAAAGAAATATAAAAGTCTAATGTAATTGACAGAAAATCATATACTTGTATACTACTATTAATGGTATCATCATCATCATCAACAGCCTTTAACAGTCCACTGCTGGACATAGATCTCTCCCTAGAAAGTAGGTTTTAACCTAATATACCTTTAAACTTCCTTTAAATCTACCTATTCCGACCTCTGATAATATCTGTATATATTCGGAAAAAAATATGGAGGGAACCATTACTATCTTAAGTCTCTAGCTTCTGAATAATGTCAGACACAGGTCAAACAGTGTCATTGATTAGTCCAGTTATGACTAGTGCAGTGTAAAATGCGGCGATATCGTGGGCGAGCAGCAAATTGGCACTTCCCGTTCTCCAGCATACGTGTGCAACGTAATGAACAGATATTTTAACGGGTGTATATGTACAGGAGTTATTGTAATCATTGCTTTAAGTGCCAAATTAGTAGTAACCATTTTGTTACTTATGCGTTGATGTTGTAAAATTGCCATTGAAGTATGTCAATGCCGATGAGCTCATTTAGCACGTAGTGAACTGCTAACTAATGTTCTCATAAGGACAATTTTTTCCCCTTTCAAACAGAGATCACGCTCATAGTCTTTCTGAGAGAAGATCTATATTTTTTACATAGATCTCTTAATAGTTTTTGTATAGTTACGTGTTAGGTAAAGAAAGTGTAATAAATGTCTCTGATTTTCCTCAATAACTCTGTCACTAATATTTGTTGCATGGTGTTAACTAAAATTAAATGATATTTATCGTCAGAACAAAGGATTCACCAACCCTCAGTCCTTTCGACCATATTTCGAGACCCCACCCATATCACTCTTGACCTGAATATATTTTTTAAACGTATATTATCATGTTACGACCAATAACGACCAATGTGTGAAATTGACAATAGACTATTATGAAGATAGAGTATTGAAACTACAATTTACTAGAATTCACGACTTAACGTATGTGTGGTACACAATAAATTATTATATTTAAACTCTATGGTGCGTCTTGCATTCGATGCAAACAATATCTAACAGGGGCCCACATAGTAATGATTGTTAGATGACAATTGTGACGCCACTGTCAATATTGGTCGTGGTAACACAATTACTGTGTGTAGGCTAATTGACTGGACCTTGATGTAGTGAAAAGTAAATAACTCAACGTAGGTTTCTACTGGAATGTTTATTTTCTGACCAGGTGATAAAATATAGACATTTGTATACATACACTACGAGGTCTTAAAATAAACGAAAGAATACTCTGTAAGTCATTTTCAAAGAGCTAATGATTCGTTAATCATTTATCACTCGACCCACTTTAGTCAAAAGTGTGTGGTATACACATCTTCCAAAATCCATTTTGCAAAACGTATGGGTATAAACTGTAAGTAATACATACATGGTACACATAGTACTAGTACTGGTGCTATCTGAAACAACGTAACTAATATTAAATGCATATTCATTACGTGTTTTTAATGAAATAAGACCAATATTTTAACTCATAATTTGAAAATTACTTATTGTTCATATGCAAACTATTAAATTGTCCCAATGTTGAACAAAAAAGCTTGGAAGAATATTAGTTATTTTTAAGTTTAAATTTTACATCAGTAATGACTAGTATAAATATATTTAATTGTTGTGAAATACAATAACGTAACATAGGTAAGAATGTCAACAAATTGCTAAGCTACTTTGTCCATCACTTGAGGCAGCTGGGTAATCTTAACAAGCTGGTGGTAGC